CCACGAATATTAGAACAATCAAAAGCATATAATCGGCATTTTGCCGTCTTATGTGGTTGTTATCCCTCAATCGATGTAATTGAATGCCTTCGTAACAAAAGTGCTGCAGACATTCTTAAATATTCCAGTCTAATTAAGTATGATGTACCAACATACTTCAATACAACACTTACTGTTGGTTTACCATGGGACGCTACATTAAATCTTCCTTCATATTATCTACAGTATAGTAATGTTGATTTTATCAATCAGTATGCTTCTCAAATTACCATACCAATCATTTGGGGCACTGATAAAGATGAAGGAACATTGTTCATTGATGATTTTGTCAACAAATCGGTTTCACTTAACTATGCTGAAACTACATTAATCGTTGGCTTTTTATGGCATCCACAAAATGTAGGTAAAATATCAGAACTTTATAATATTAATAATCCACTCCAGGCAGACTATCATGATACACTTGCTCAAATTCTTGGTGATTATGCATTCACTTGTCCTATGCGTAGTATGAGTAGATCACTTACACTTGCTGGCAATACAAATATATATTTATACGTTTTTGATTATATTATTCAGGCAGTTCAATTACTTTATGGTTCATCACATTGGGCTCCAGATTGTTATACTCATGTATGTCATAAGAGTGAAATGCCATTTGTTTTTAATGCACCAAATGTATCAACTATTCAATTTACAGATGAAGAAGAAATCTTTGCTCAATCGATTGGATGTCGTTGGACAAATTTTGGAAAAACAGGAAATCCCAATAGTTTATCATGCACTTCACCTACATGGAATACGTTTTCAATAAACACGAACACAAGTCTTAATCTTACATTAGATACCACGGGATATGTGAACAATTATCGTGGAAATCCATTTTGTGATTTCTGGGATAATCTAGGTTATACTTTCTAATCGAATTTAGATCAAAAACTGCGATAGATAATATCTCTTATCTATCAAACTTTATATCTATTTATTTAAAAAAAAAATATAAATAAACCTTTTGTTTTTAATAAACTATAATTATATTGTAATATTGGTAATGGTTGAATATTTAATCTTTTTTTTATTTATTAGAGACAATAAATTCAATTTTAAATATTAAGCTCTAACTAAAATGCTATTGTCAAATAAAAATATTACATTAATAAATGTTTATAAATCATATAGTTTTTTATTTTAAATCTTTGTTCGTTTTCTTGCCATTAATTGTTCTTCAGCCATACGTGTTCCTTCTAAACGTGCTCGTATTTTATCAAAAGCAATTTGTCTTGGTGTTGATTGATCATCATCAAATGGTGAAAATCCACAATCATCTGTTGTACCTAATTGTTCAATGGGAATATATTTTGCTGCTTCTAATACTCGTTCACAAACTTCTTCTGCTGTTTCAACTCGAGGATCAACTGAATTAATAACTCCAATAAAAATTCTATGCCATGGTTGCATATATTCACGAATACATGATAATACACGTTGACGATTAGATTCACTTGCTAATTGTAAATAAAAATTGCCAACATGTAATTCAAATAATGTTGGAAGAACTTTTAAATAATCAATATCATATGAATGATAACTATCTTGATCACCACCTTTAAGAAATTGTTTTTGAATTCAAATATTAAAAATTAATATTACAAACCTGGACAAACATGAACACCAAGTCGATGTTGTTCACTAAACATAAATCGTTCTAAAACTTGATTATTAAGACGAACAAAATCACGTAATAATTGACCAGTGGGATCAACTTTAAGAGAAAAACGTGCTTCAGTAAAATCAATTTGTATACAATGTGCACCTTTTTCAAGACATAATCGAATATCTTTTTCAGATTCATTTATTAAATCAGTTAAAAATTGATCATGTGAATAACCTTTAATAGTAGCTACTGGATAAACCATTGATAAAGCTGATGGACTAATAACTGCTTGTCTAGGTTTGTTTTTAAAAATAAGAAAGAATTAATAATTATGAAAATGATTCTACATACTTAATTGGTAATCCTGTAAATTTTTTCGCAGTATCAATATATGTATGAGCATATTTAGCATATCGAAATGGTGCTTTAACTAAACGTGGTAGTGCACGTTGATGACCATCTGCAAATTTAAGAGAAAAACAATCAGTTGAAAATGAATATGATTCATCAACTAAGTCAAAAATTGGATAAATTAAAAATGATGGTTTTGTTTGTTCACCATCAGTAATAACTTTCGATCCTGTTGCTTCAAGTTCTTCAATAGTTGTTTGGACAGCTCTAGTATAGAAATCATTTAAACGTTCACGACCCATTCTTCCATAACGATAACTACGCAAAGCTGCAATCAGTTCATCAGGTCGAGGCACTGAACCAATTGGTTCACTTGGAATAATGATCTAATATAAATTAAATGTAGGATTTAATATAAAAAAATATATCACATACTCTGTCTGTATTTTCCATGTTATCGATAGAAAATGAATCTCAGTACAAAAGTTCTCCATCTATTTATATATGAAATTTTAATTCAAATAAGTGATTCTATGTTAAATTAACAGAGGATAATATCATTAACTATGTAAAAAATAATTCAGATAGATTAAAGGAAAGTCAGAAACATAAACTAGTTGATTATTAATATCAAAAGAAAAAAGAAGTTATTGATAATAAACAGTATCTAATTATTTTAAAAGGAAAAATAATATCTTCAAAACATGATCTTGTCTGTTTTTGAATAAAAGATTGATACAGATATGTTTTCCCATCGTAATCAATATACTTGAGTAGATTGAAGTAAAATCCTAAAAAGATTTTTACATCTATAGCTAAGATTCAACATAGAATAGTTTATATTCTTTGAGTTTAACATCAATCATATTAGACTGAAAACGCAATAGATTATTCTCAATTTATTGAAATAACTAAACTGTAAATTTTATATCATATTCTTAATTGTTTTTTTTATTTGTAATTAATAATCATTATTTTGATATGCTGTATTAAAAAGTATATTATTATCGATTTTTTAAAAATTATTTTAAATACACCAGTTTTTTTAGACTATTAATGTTCACATAGAACAAGCAATGAAATCATTTATTAGTAGATTTTAATGATATTTCTATTTCATTTATTTGTATATTGTACAATGATTGAATGACATGTGACTTGATCATTAATGTATCACATGTTGATTTTCAAAACAAATTGCGACTGATAATTTACACTATCCAATGAAATATTTTACTCCGGGAGAAAATAGATGATTGGAAATACGTTAGAAAAACTCAGTTTTATATAAGTATCTGTTGACATCTAGGAAAAAATACTATTCGATTATATTTCACTCTCACATGAAGAAGAAATTGATTATTTATTAATATTCAAATTATTATCTTTTTTAAAGGAAAACAAAAAAATTAATAAATATTATATATAATTTTTAGTAATAAATTGCTAAAAGATAATATGAATGATTTTGGTGTCTTATTTCCAATATTGTCGAAGAAGAAGAAAGAGAAAAATATTTCATATCTGACTATAGATAAAATTCCTTTTGAATAATAGAACAATTGTTCGATCGTTCTAGACGCTTTCTTTCTTTCTTTCTTTCTTATAGTGTAAACAGTTTATTTTCTATGCAAAATGTTATGATTACACTAGTAAAGTATACTATTATTTGATCTCAGTGACTGACGATCATTTCTAGTCATATATGTAAATGAAACTATACTTTATTTATACAATGAACTATCTTTTGTTTACTTATATTTGTAGATCTTATAAGCATCTATATATATAGATAGATAATCATTTATTTAACCTTTTATTCTTCGAATTTGTACGTGTCTTAACCATGTCGGGTTCGGATACTGATTATCTTATTCGAGATAATGCTACGGGAGCTACACCAAAATCAAAATTCAGAAAGGTTTCTATTTTAAGTTCTTTTAAAATAATATTTCTTAATTTTTTTATTCAGTTCATCTGGTTAACTATAGTCTTTTTATTGGGTATTGCTATTGGTAGTATACCATCAATCGTTCTATATATTCGTTCATCACATTCTGGATCTAATCCATCGATACCTTCCGGATGGAATATTGATGATTATCAATCAAATAGTGATTATTATAATGAATTAACAGCAATCCATGATTTTAATCAAACACATAATCTTCGTTTGGATCGTCTTTCTTCACCACAATTTCATCCACAACATGGAAAAAGTGTTATCTATTTACGAAAACAATTTCATATGCCTGATTTAAATGGATCAACAACAACATTACATTGGACATGTTTACAAACAAATCAAACTAAACAATTAACTCAACCTATTTGGGGAGTGCATGATCAACAAGTAGATTTTCTATTTATTTATTTTAATATTTAATATTTTTCTTTATTTTTTTCTAGTTCTATTGGGTAGATGATACAACAGTTCTTTTTCTTTCTAATCGAACATCAGATCTTAT